GGGGGGGGGGGGGTGAAGAAATGGCGTCCTGTGGAGGGAAGAAGGTAACGTATTCATGGTTATGTGCATACATACATACATACCAAATAGGGCCGATTTTATATTCTTTGGTCGACTCCGCTATAGCATAGGCCACCGCTGTCTCCAACCGCAAATTGGCGGTTGCCCTGTCTTTCCCTTCGGTTGATACCAGCCCTCCGATGGTTAAATTTGTCCTTTTCAGGTGCATAATTTGCCGTATATGTTTCAGGTTTTCGGGTTTGAGAAACAGACGGTTTTTTTTTTTTTTTTTTTTTTTTTTTTTTTTTTTTTGAGACGGAATATAATGACTCATGAAAGCGAATTATCTTCTCTTTTCTCTTTTCTTTTCTATTGAATGCTCTTGTTTCATTCTATTTAATGTTATTTTCATTTCGCATTTTCTTCATTTTTGTTCTTCCAAGGTTTTGCTTTTACTTCCGTTTCCTATACGAGCTAGAAAACGCGGTAAGGGAGGCTAGTACGGAGTATTCTAAGAATGTAAGAAATGGCAAAGGGGCGGGGAATGTTAACCCAAAAGATGATGTTGAACATGATAAAGAGGGATTAAGAGGAGAGCACCGACGAATGAAAATAAGAGGATATTAGGAGAAAAATAGCATGTTGACTACGCGAGAGGGGGAAGGAATACAGGATAGGAGACGGAGAATGGTAGTGATAAGAATCCCCGTTCCAAAACTCCAGCGCAAATATCCTTGAAAATGCAAGAGAAAGAAAGAACAAGGCAAAAGATCACGTACATGTATCCCACATACCATTTATGCATTTGAAAATGTAGATGGAAACAGATGAGATCACTTAACAAAAAAAAAAAAAAAAAAAAAAAAAAAAAAAGAGCCACCAAAGCACTTGACATGAAATCTATAAACCAGCTACCAAAAAACACTTTTCCACCCACCTCGAAAACCTAACGGTTGGCGCATCTACGCCTCGCCAAAACATATCCGCCACCCAGATAGACACAGGCAAACATATCAGCCATCCAATCGCAAATCCGAAACAATACTGCGCATTCGTCTCCTTGCCGGTGAGCGCCCATATGTTTGGCATCAGCGAATAGCCCAGCGAGTGCAAGATGGGCCCGTGAACGATGTAGAATGCGTATGATATCCTGCCTAGGTACTGTGCCAACGCATTCGTGAAGACCTTTTGAAGGTCCGGCGAGCGATTTATGCTGCAGATGATTATTACCGCACCTAGGGATTGGAGGAAGCGGTGACCCTCGGGGTAAGTGCTGGGGGTTAGGATTGAAGCTAGGGTGCGGTAGAAGGGTGTCGATTGGGGAGAGTTGTTGGGGGATGAGCCGATGAAGAGGCCTACGGTAAAGACGCTGAGCCAGAGGAGACGGTGGGAGCCCTGTCGGTGGTGGCTAGAGTTGCCCATGGTGGGGGTAGGATATGGGGTATTTTCGATGTCGTGGGTATTGGAGGAACGGGTGTGGTCGATGACATTGTCGTTACCACGAGGATATTCATGTTTGTGCAGGTGTAGGAGGGGGATGGAACGGGAGGAAGGTAGAGGAGTTGGACGGGGGTCCTCCCAGATGCCATGGATTAAGTCCACCTCAGCCATAAGCATGCCCGACAAAAACAGCACGACGTCCCATCGTCCCCATCGTATACAGTAATAGATGAGGCAAGACACGAGCGTTAAACGAATCCAGGTTCTGAATCGAGAAACGCAAACGATGGTCAGGAAGAGAGACAATGAACATCGGAATTCGACCGGGATGGTCCACAGATGGGGATTGTAGAAATTGTAATAAGTGTTCCAGTTCCAGGGATCTAGCAGATGGGCTACAGTGAGATACCAGTCCTTAAACTGTTCGACGAAAGATTTGAAATAAGGGGGGTGCTGTTCGTTGGTACCGAGGATAGTATGGCCCTCATCACGAACCCAGGTCGCATAGTGATAGAAGCCCAGGCGAACAGCGATGAGCACGCAGAAAATTCCCGCAATAGAAGGGATATAAAGGCGTAGTACACGCCTGAATGTAGAAGATGCGAGCGTGTGGAAAGCCTTCTCCCACGAATGAGTTCGGATCAGCCTCAGTGGTTTATAGGAGAGCACATAGCCCGAAATCACGAAGAATATTGTCACCATGATATGGCCCGATATCAGCATGTGGATAATGGGCAGCTGATGGATTCCCCAGTTATCTTCGTCGAACCCCCATCCAATCGCAGTTTTATGCGTGTATGTGAAGAGGAAGTGGAAATTGAAGACCAGCAAGCAGGCCCATCCTCGCAAGCCGTCAAGAGCAGCAATTGTATGTAGCTTCTGCGACTGGATCGAACGTGGCCCGACCAAAATGATGTAGGAAACTGGGGGGTAACCGCAAGGGAGAAAGACTGGACAAATTTCATTACGCTCTCTTCAAGGGACAGCGATTCGGAGTTGGAGTGGGAATCAGGCTTGGAATCGGAATTGAAATGTTTCAACCCGTTGTTGTTATTTTTTCGGTGGTTTTCAAGGGAGCTTCCGAATGATCCATTCAATGGCGAAGGAAGGCTTTTCCGGGGAGATATAGGCTGTTCCATAGTACATTTTAGACTGGGGGCATTGGCCACGCATTCCCAGACCAGAGAGATATCAGCTAGAGTGACGACAAAGTCGAGATATAATTCTCTGTGCTGAACCCAGGGACGAGATCCCAGTGACGCCCAGGATCCACATCGGAAAAATGCAAAGCAGATAGACGCGAAAGCGATACGGGCGAAGAGAATAACAGAATATAAAGCCCCCTCAGGAAGAAATAACGGTAGATATTAATTTCGAACTGCTGGGTTCCGTCGGCCTCCAAATGAGAGAGAGCGCTGTTTGCGGGTGTTTGGAAGGAGATGAGGTGAGACTACAGCATGAGGTTCGGCAACCCACGCGGATGTTGGCCGCGACAAGGTGGCTTGCCGCTTAACCATTACCGGCTAAAGGCGCAACTCAAATCAGACCCTATTGCTTGATTATCCATGGCAGATATATTCTGTACAGTAAGATAAGGTACATGCTACGGATACTTCTCACCACTCTCTCAGCCGCTCTGCACCACCGCGCTGACCAGCATGGGACATTGCCTGCCTCTTGTCTTGTTTTGTCCTAGAGGCCCTGTCCCATGGTACTGTGGTGCAATGTGGTTGCATCCATCATGTCAAGGCGTAAAAACAACCGAAACGCTTCCGAGATCTGTTCATCATCCTCCGCAAGACCCTCCGCAAGACCCCCCGCAGGTGTCGGGATCCATCTCGAAATGTCGTCCGCTCTGCGATGGGCTGGTAACGCAAAGGCAATTCGAATTCCTTCCACACCCTTGAGATAATATCAAGGATCCATACAAACGAATTCGAGAAAGGAGAAAATCAAGTGTTTGATTGTAAGCTTGGTTGTTTAAAATCGATATCAACATCAACGCTCTCATCTAGAAATATTCCATCCCTGTACTCTCAAGTGTTACAAATGCGCATTAAAACCGTATATGCCCAGTATACGCGGGCAAGTGAAAGGAAATAGATGGTCTTTTGAAAATGACCCTTTTATGGAAATGCAGTTGTAAAAATGATACATTTGATGGATGAACGCTCATTATATTAGAAGAAACCACTACTCTTGAGATGGTTGCGCGCGTACACCCAGCTTGTTGTCGTTTCCATATCACACTATCATTCTTCCTCTCATCTTTCCCCTATTCTGCATTTTATCCTCATCCGTCCACACTCTGATCCCTCAGCATCGTCAGCGAGGCTCCTTCTTGCCTGACTTCCAGCATGCCTGCTTCCCCTGAAGCTAACAGTAGCAAGTTCCCCAACAGCCAGTTTGACTATGCCAATGACGTGTTTCCAGACCCTGGCGACGATAATACCGACGGGACCAGGGAGACTGACAGCAAGGACAGTGAGGATAATGATGACAGTGATATGGAAATAGCAGAAGATGACAAGCTTCCTCCTCCCAAACATTATGGGGTCAAGGAGACTACTCTCGATGTCAAATGGCTCCAGCAGTGTTGCTTGAAGAAAACCACAGTTGGTAACATGGCTGTATAGTCTGCCCTTGGCCAAAATGCTGGATCAGGTTACTGAAAAGAGTTGCTGCTGTTTGACGTTGTTGAGACGTTAACGAGAACGGCTGCGAGAAGTCCAATACTTTTTTCTAAAGATGACTGATGCCGAGCAAAGCCATGATTCGTAAAATGCATAACTACAGCAAATAGATGGGGGAACCCTGTGTTAAGAAGACAGCGGAATGGAAAACTTTCGGCTTCGTTCGTCTCAACCCGTGTCGGAAAAACTTTTTCCGCTCCGCCCCACGTTTCTCAAGCAGCTTGATTCTGTTCTGCTCTATGTACTGTTCAGAGCCTTCTACAATCTCCGTTCCAGACTGAAAACAAGACACACCCATGGGTCGTGAATCCTCCACTGATCCTGGTGTTTAAAACCACTGCTTAGGACATGAGATCCACGATCAGGTAGCCAACCGAACGAAATGGGGCGGATGTTATCAAGATCGTCCCGTGAACGACTAGACACTTCAGAAACTCGGAAAAAGTTCCTGACGATACACGCTGATCACAAACTATAGGAACCTACGCCGTTTATTTCATTCACTCAATGCCCGCATCAGCTCCGAGATTGTGCCGCATGGAGAGAGCAGAAGAGAGGGAGTCAAACAATTACGGTGCTGAATCCAAACTTTCGGGTGAAGGAGTGGTCTTTCCATCCTCAATATAAACACCAAAATGCGTTATTATGGAATACCCGATCTGTACGCCAAATTAAACGAATACTACAAAAACCACTACATCAGTTTATGGGAAGTTACAGAAGAGGAGGTTGTTGGACAATGGGCGTGAGACGATTTACTTGCCCTTTATGTTGGCTATTGATACGCTGAGCCTCTTCTCTATATAATTCTTCGCGAACGTCGTCGGGAATATCGTTGTGTTTCCAAAATTCCCGCCCCTTTTCCCCGAGGAGTTTTTGCCAACAGTACTGTCCCATCATGGCCGCATGGTGGGCCAGAGCAACGCATTGTTCTGTACACATCCCACCAAACCGAAGGCAGTCCCAAAATCTGCTCAGCATCGATCTGGGGGCGTCTTGTTCCGTAAACATCCTCCCGGGAAGAGCTTGGATGATAAGACAAAACAATCACTCTTTCATAAAACTTGAGACTTGATTTTCATAATACAACAGATTCCACAGAAATCAGAGTTAAAACATCTTTTTCCATGTTATCACCAACAGTTCATCAACATTAGCTCCACTGATTCAAGATATTCAACAACCCCCAACGTCTCTTGAGACTGATTCACAATTGCCATCTCACATCTATGAGTGATATATTCACTATGGCAGTAGTTGTTACAGAGATCAGTTGCTTGATATACTTCCATACTCCAGCTCCTCAGTTTTCCGCCCATACTGACATTG